GACATGGTTTAGGGCTGGACATGGCAGCGCTGGATTATTGGTTGGACTTGATCCTAGAAGTCATCACCAAACTTTTTAATTCTATGAAATTAAAATTGCAGTTAGGAATAAAGCATTGGTGGGCAATTTCAAAATGATGACATACTTGGTTGTGTTTTCTTGTTAAGAAGTAATGTGCTGTGCTTATGGTTTATAAAGTAGTGGCCACATAACTTTGTGATTTTGTGGTCTGGTATTGTATATATGAACAGTTAAACAAGGACTTAGGAATGCTGGAGAAAGCAACCCGGTATGATATGGATAGTCTCTAAAACTGAGCAGCATAATTAAAACCAGGATTCATGGTAAAGGGAAAGTTCACCTTGTCTGAGAGGTATGAGTCATGTCATACACTTGTAGAGAATTTGACAGCAGAGTAATTGTTCATGAACTAGACCATGTGCCTTTTTGTTCTGTACCTGCTGGCTTCAAGTGCTTTTACTCTATCTTGCTTCTAAGTTGTGCTTTTGGCAGAAAAGCAAGCAGAACAATCTTGTATATATTTGTGGAAGCAAAATGTTTTATGCTCAAGTCCTTTAAGAATAATAAAAAAAAATCTTCAATTTTTATTCTTTTTCCCAAAGCTATTCAAGTTTTGTCTCAGCTATGCCAGTCTTTCACTGCAGCTGTCAGTGTAATGCCTTTTTTCACAGAGATGGCTCAGCTGAAAGCAGTGCTTCCAGTCAAGGGCAGGAGGAAGGTTCATGCAGGGAGCAGGAGCTGTAAGTCTGACTGCACACATTGTCAGCTTAGTATAATACTTAACATATAGGTAGGGATTGGGATGGAGAGGGAAGTATGTGAGAAATGGGGAAAAACAGGATTATTCAGTTCACTGCACTCAATAATATTCACACTTCTGGTGATTGGTTAGGTTTTATTTTGCATCTGGAAAAGCTGGTAAAGTGTAATTTACTTGGTAAAATGTGATTCAGTGTCTTGGTCAAGACAGTAGAGGAGGTCAAAGCGCAGAATTAGGAATAAAGTTGTTATCTTCCAGGAAGCTGTATCTTCTCAACCAGTCTGAAGCCTAGATAAAAACTATATAGATCTCTGTGGGTATACAGATTGAGATAAGAGGCAGTGCTATCTCAAAGACACTCTAGGCAGAAGTTCTCAAGAGAATCTAGACATATTTTTGCATGCCTTTTTTAATTTATGCACAGTTGAGAGTACTATTGGTGATCAGAAATTTGCCGATGTTCTCCATTTGAAGTACAGAGATAACTGAGTATCTTTTTTGAGAATTTGGTGAATCAGTGTGGCGTTTTCAAGTCATGTTTTCATAGATACAGACATATCATTCTGGAAAGTAAAATCTTTGGCTCCTTGTTGATACTGTTCTTATCCCTTCACTAATTTCACTGTGGTTACAGGACTGTTTTGATGCTATTGTGTGCACTATATGGCTAGCACTATATTTAGGGCTCTCTCCAGTCATTGCAAACTGTCTTCTCAACTTTGCATGATTGAAATCTCCTGCTTTAAAGCGTGAGCTACAAACAGGGCCCAGCTAATGAAATAATCTCCATTTCCTGCACTTTAATGCAATTTTGCAGCTCAGGAGGTTAGTATTCTTCAAATTATCATATATCAGAGAGATGGGAACAAGATGTTTCTATTAAATCATATTTCTTTTTTAAAAAAAAAAACAACAAAACAAATATTCCCCCCCACCAAAAAAAAAAAAAAAAATCCACAAAAAACAAACAAACAAAAAAACCCCAAACAAAACCACCAAAATCCCAAAACCTAAAAAGACAAGTTGTAACAGGGAGCACTGTCCCACACACAAAGAAACACAAAGAATCATACGCCCAGTATAAACAGGAGGAACAGAGAAGGTGAATGCACTGATGATATTAGTTGTGAGTCAGTGCTTATAGTCACTACATCCATCTGAAACTATTGCACTGTGAATTTTTTCATGCCCATCTGTCTGAACAGGATAAATACCCCAGTTGCAGAAAATCGTCAGTTTGAGTTTAGTATAGTTTTTCCAGTCAGTAAAGAATACAGTAAGCACAGTGTTGAAATGTGTTTTCAAGCCAGTGTTGATACACTGGCTTGAAAATGAATTCTTTACAGGCTCTGTATCAGGGCCAGTCAGGAAAGCTTATCATTCAAATGAGCAGCTTAAAATGCTGGGACTTTTCCTGTGATGGACCAAGTGATAACCTAGGGATCAAGATTAGGTATAAATGGAAGCATCATGGTGAGTGTCCATGGTCTGGGCCTCAAGAACATTTGGTCAAGGCTCGTGAAAGACAGAGGGAGGTGATTAAAAAGAGGGAGGTCAATTTACAAATGTTTACAAATGTTTGGATTTTACCTTGCCAACCTGACATCCTTCTGGGGTGAGAAATCTGCTAGCTCTGTGCATGAGGGAATATAAATAGATGTAATTTGCCTGAATTTTAGCAAGGTTTTCAGCACAAATTCTCTTTCCTAGCCAAATGTGAGAGAAACTAAATGGATGGGTTTACTATGAGTGGGACACTGGCTAGACCAGCAGACTCAAAGAGCAGTGGTCAGCAGTTCAGAGTTTAGTTACTGATGGCAAGTTACTTGTGGTGCTCATGCAGAGTTGATAGAGGTGCTAATGCTGTTTAACATCTTAATTAATAACCAGAATGATTATATAGAGAGCATGGTCAGCAAGGTTTGAGGCAACACCAGACTGGGAAGAGGAGATATGATACACTGGACTGTTCCCTGATCTTTAGAGGAATATAGGAGAAGGAGAAATGTGCTGAGAAGAACCTCACAAAGGTTAATGGAAACATTCAGGAGTTCCCCATGACAGAATAAAACCTGGAGCAGTCCCAGCCAGGCACAGTCTGGCTAAGCTGCAGCTTTGTAAAGAGAACAAGCTGCACATGAGTCAGCCATTGTAGCAGTGAGGGGGAATGGCAAACTGGGCTGCACTTCCAGCCTGGGCAGCAGGGTAAGGGGCATCTCATCCCATTGTCAGACTGCAGCAGCAGGAGTACTCTGTCCAACCCCAAGTGTTCCCATAATTGTTTCTGATTTCTTTAGCTTTATGTCAGGAAATTCTGATGCAGATAAAAGGCTTTGTTCTTCAATAGGTTAAAGAGATTTGGGTGAATGCATTGAAAAATGACTTCTCAAAGATTTTTGTTATTTCAGTAGATACTGTTTTTATAAATCACCAGTGGAAAGATACTTTCTTTTCTGAAAACTGTATTTTTTTATAGTTGGTTATAGACCAACACAGTAGGTAAAAATAAAAAGGAGATAAAATCAATACTGTAAAAAATTGCCAATCTTATTCTTCCTGTAGCAAAGTAGCACTTTTTAAAGTGCATTAAGCTAAATATTAGTGTTATTGTAAAAAGGAAATAATTTGTTTTACCTTCAATGATAATGCAACTATGGGCATATTCCATATACCTAAAGCTAAAAATATTATAAGCATAATAATAAAATCAGAAAAATATTATAATCCTATTAAGTAAAATTCAGCTTTTACCTCTCACTTCAGTGTGACCAGTGTTTTGGGACACAATGAGACTAACAGGTTATGGGTGTATAATTTCTTTCCAGATATTAAGCATTTTAATATCAAATAATACTATACCTTGACATTGGTCCATGCAATGAAATGCAGACACCAAATTGTATGCATTTAATTTTAATTCACGGCTTACACAATTGTATAGAAATTATGGCATTAATCAGCAGTAGCTTTTGTCCAGTAACAAAATTTCTTTGAACACAGAATTATCCTTGAATGACTGCACAAAAACTGGGAAAAAAACCCCAAACTGTATTTGAATTATTGCACTGTCACATTCCTAATTTGAGTTAGTAACAACCAAAGGTTTGAAATCCCACAGTAAATATTTGATGACAGAAATAGGATCAGTGTTTCCATCAATGCTGTGTTCATGCCTACCATGCACAAAGAGACCCTGCAGTCTGTACGAGTTTAAAGTGCAGTCATTCAGTGGCAAGTACACAGTGCAGATGAATAGAACTAGTGAGCTACTGTGCTGAGCATTAGTATTTTCATCAGCCCAATTCAGTGACTGAAGAGTCTTTGCAGCCCATGTAGGCATTAGTGAGGCTGAGAAAGGGTGCCTTCCATCACTCTGTCCTACACTGACTACATGTTGGTCTTTCTGAGTCCTTGATTTATTAGCAATCCCATCTCGGCAGTCCTTCCTTTAGTTTGTCACTTTACTGATGGTGCTTGCCTCTGGCTTACAGGTTCTCACAACTCTGGTTTTCTCCAGAGTCTGAGCTAGGTCTGTGCAGCTGGGTACTATCAGAGCTTGGCATTGGGTCAGTAACACTGAATGCCGGAATGGGGAAGAGCAAGAGGTTCAGGTGGTTGGAAACTAGCCTGGATATGAACTTCATCAAGAAATTAAAGATCAGGTTGGGCAGCTTTGCAGATGCACAAGTCTTTTTAAACTGGTCTGTATTTCAATCTGAACCCCAGCTGAGTGTATATGAACCATGTCAATTTTATACCTTTGACATAAATATCATCATAAATGTCCATATACATATTCAATACTGCTAGCAGTGTAAGCATTAAATGTTTCTCCTCTGTAAAGATCAGTTAATCATCTTGGTTCAAACACAAAAGTTAGATTTGTCAGGTGGGGAAGCTGAAACGCTCAACCTCAATATCCCCTAACTGAAAGTTGAATACATCAGGTTTCTTACAGTTCTACTAAAAGATTATCAACTATATAATACATATTCAGGATGTGGTCCAAAGCCTGGAAAAACTAAAAAGAAAGGCCACAGTGAGCTGTGGTTTGGAGGCTTCATCCTTGATTGAGTGTTACTCATAGTTATGTACTGTTGTATGATTTGAATTCAGTGTGAAAATAGGCTTTTAGACTTTTAACTTACGGTATAAGTATTTCAATATTCATGAATTTCAGGTCTTTAAATTTATTTTCTCTTTTTTTTTCCCCTTTCAGGCAAGCCCTGCCCCTATAATTGTCAACACAGACACTTTGGACACAATCCCCTATGTAAGTATTAAGGATTTTTTATAAATATGTAGAGTTGGTTTATTTTCACAGAGAAATTCTTTTTGGTATTGCATAGAAACTATCATATAAACAAGTATTTAATTTCTTTTACAGTTACACTGTAAATTCCTTTTTTGGGAAAAGAAATTGGGAATGCCAATTGTACTCAGGCGAATCATAGCATTATTATATGCACACAATTTGTATATGTTTACTAAAATTAGCCTTTATTTGAAAAAAAGAAAAGTGATTTCCTTAAGGCTGTCATCCTTACCAGTGACATGAGTATTTCCTTTTAGAGCCATGCACACCCTGCTAGCATAACAGAAATATACCTAGATGCACAGTGTATCTTAAAATGGTGCAGTATCCCTTAGTTTGTCTATCCTTCTTTTTTAGATGGAAATTGCTCAATGATAAATAACAGCTCAAACTAATTGACTTAATATTTTCCTGTTAATGTCTCTTGTTTTTTATGACTTCTAGGAAACAGATTATCCTGAAATAAATGCATGTTTTTATTAGAGTTTTAAAAATGCGGTTTTAAAACCAACATTTGATACTATTGTTGTGTAGACTGTAAAATCAACTATAGTTGAAGATAAAGGACATAGAAAAACACAAAACAAATACATCACAAAAAGAGTAGGAGGCTTAAATGATTGGAGGGAAGAAAAACAAGTAGCACAAAGCTAGCCAGCCAGTATCTAATCTTTCTTCTTGCATCATGTAGTTATCTTTTTGAAGCTCCTAATTAATGTCTCTCATCTGTTGTGTTTTGTCCACATCCGTTTCTTATGATACCAATGCATAAGCCTAATTATTTTTCTACCTACACCAGTCATGTTGCTAGATTCCATCTTTAAGACTGTTGATGAGGAAGTTTAATAGGAGTTGTCCTGGTGAGTTTGTAACTTGACAATTCATAAAAGTTAGAAATTATGGTGCGTAGCACAGGTAAAGATCACAACAAGAGCAATTTAGAAGAATGACAGTGCTCAAAAGCAGAAGAGAATGAAGTCCCTTGATAGGAATATGAACTGTTGGGAAGGGTGAAAAAGTTAAATAGAATTTCTCTGTTCATTTGCATGCAGCTTTTTTAAATGGCTTCCTATCATTTCTGTCTCAGTTTTCCATCTAACATTGAAACCATCTGCTATGGTCTCACTTTCAATAGGATTGTCTGGCTCTTCTCCTGTATTTTGATGAAACATTTTATACTTAGTGTTCTCTAGTCTTCCAAAAGGGACACTCTGAGCCCCAGTTCTCATTTTCAGGCACTGGACCTGTGCCCAGGATCCTCTGCAGCTACGGTGTTAGAATTCCTAAATACAGATGCAATTACACTAGTGACAAGATGCTCAATCAATATGATTTATTCCCTTAACACATCCTATCAATACTTACACACTTTTATGCCACTGTTGTACTAGAGTTCCTTTTTCTTAAATAATAAAGAACAAATGACCAAACACATTCAAGAGAAATGTTGACAGTAGGCTGAGAAGTGCCTGTGGGCTGTTTCAGTCTCCAGCACACGATGTGAACTGGATAAATAAACAGAAGGTGCCTGCTGTAGAAATACACAACTCTGAATTAGTCATCTTGCTCTTCCTAGCCTGGGGAGAGTTATTTCTCTTAGATATAGGACACAGCAGTGCCACCATAGAGGGATTTATTTAACACTAGACACTAAGAAGCACTTCATCTTGACCTGTCTGCTGAGCCAAGGCCACCATAGTGCTCCACACTCTGATTTACAAATAGGCATTTGCTTCTGCTCAGGATTTGTGTGCTTGAATATTCTCTAAAATGAGACACAAAAACAAGTCATGAACAAATGACCTCTTCCTCCAAACTAATATTTGAGGGAGTGGGCTGGGAGACCTGTGTATTCTTTCTTGCTCTCAGGAGTAATGCAGTTTAATTTAGTTTGGTTTTATTTTATATTTCCTCGGCAAGGGAGATGCCATAGTCATGGGGCCAGATCCACGTTTTCTTCTCTGTGCATCCCCTTCTGGTCCAGGGATCCTTCCCAATACATATTTAGTGATAGCAGATAGTGGATTGACTCTGGCCAATAGCCGAACAAGCTTCTCACTCCTCTCTGCTGTGGATCAGGAAGAGAATAGGAGATATAAAAGCAGAAGATAATGAGTTTAATAGGGAAAGCAAATGTATGTGCACGCAAAGCAGAATAAGAAATTCATTCACTGCCTCCCACCAGCGGGCAGATGTTTAGCAAGGAAAGCAAGGCTTCATCAGGTGTAGCAGTTATTTGGGAAGACAAATATCATAACCACTAATGTTCTCCCTTGCTCCTCCTTTCCCTGAGCTTTTACTACAGAGCACATGTGACATGGAATATTCCTTTGGTCATGTGGGGTCATCTCTCCTGGCTGGGTCCCCTCCAAATCCTGTACCCACCCCCAGCCAACTTGCTACTGGGACAGGAAGGGCAAAATAGAAAGGAGAAAAAGCCTCAATGCTGTGCAAGCTCTCTTCAGCAATAACCAAAATTTGGTGTATTAGCAACATTGTTTCAGCCACACATTGAATTATTGCTCCACATAGGCTACTGTGGAGAATAAAGCCCATCGCAGCAAAACTCCATACAGCCTGTAGTATTGTGTGGATCCTGTAATACAGCCTATAACACAATGGGATGTTAAGGGAGTTTTGTCTCTCTTTTAAAAATTTGGAAATGCAAAGAAAAGTCTTCCAAACTGGATGAGTTAAGTGTATGATAGTGCAACTGTCATCATCTAATTTATTTTGCAGGAAATGTAATTTAGTGGCTATGCCATGAAATATTTTTTCTGGATGAGGTCAGTTTAGAGAGATAACAAAAAGCTAGATTTAATTATTATTTTGAAACTTGAGCATGTGTCAAACAGCTGCATTTTTCAGCACTGTTGGGACTTCCAGACATGCATGGAGGAAGATTCTATGTGCCTAGGAGCATATTTGGTGAATGTTTAAGTATCCTTAGAGTTAACTAGCTAAGTATTTGCACTTCTGAAAGGCACTACTGATTTTTAGTTGCCATAAAATAAACTTCGAACACTGACAAAAAAATTACTTTATGGATCAGAGAATCCAAGTTAAATTATTATATTTTCTGTCCAAAGCTAAAAGCAGCCTTGGTATAAGATGCTGATCCTCCCTCAGAACTGTGGAGTGTTTAAAACACCCAAAAGTGCTGTTCTTTGGGGCTGTAGTGATCTTACATTCCTGCTATTCATCCTTGTTCCTCAGGTCTCATTGCCAAAGTACACTTGGAGTTCAGGAAGACTGAATGGGAAGAACAAGAATTTTTCAGATCCTACTAATTGGGTCATGGTTCTAATGTTTACATTCCTTTTTTTCTTAGACTTTGTCTTTCTCTAGTCTTAGGTGGTTGTCCTTTTAACTGAGTTTGCCTTCCACAAATCTGAGCACCATTTCTAAATCAGCTTGTTGAATAGAATTAAAAGGCAAGGGAATACATAAGCAAGTGATAATGTCTCAGGAAAATTTTTGACATATTAGTTTTTGATTTCTAACTGTTGGGATTTTCTAAGATACTTTCCATAACTAGTATTTAATGCTGTCCACTCTGGTGTTTGCACAAAAGAAAGTGCTGTTTAAATTTTTTTTTCTCTTATTATTTTTTTTCTTAAATTATGGTATTTTTCATTGCATTTACCATAACAAAATTAAGTAATACATTTTATACCATATAGAAATTATTTCCAAAATTAGGCATTGGAATAGCATGGATTTTCAAATTTTGGTGAATCAAAATGGTATTTTTTTTTCCGTAATTACTAGAACCAACTGATAACCTGATAGATCCCTAAATAAAGGCAGGCTATTTTTAGTGCAGTTACATGCTACATGGAGACTTCTCATTATTTCATTAGGCTCTTAGCACAACCTGTGTCATTGTTTCATTTTACAGGATGTACCCTCAATGCATTTCCAATTCATTAACAGCTCTGCTCATCCTCTCTGCCATCTTCCTCCAAAAATTCCTGAGTGTTTTTGGAAGATACCTCTCAAATAGTCAGCATTCACAAAGCATGTTCACATGTCATCATTGCACTGGTCACCCGAGAGAAATTTCCTTTGTACAGTTAGTGTACAACTGGTAAACTTCAGTGATTTATCTCATTAACCCTCTAATGATTTAAAATCACATTATTAAACATTTTGCAACTGTTGACATTTTTCAAACCTTTCAACTCAATAGTTTGGGAAAAAAATCATCCTTTGTGGGACTGGTTTTCATTAGCATGCTTTTTTTTAGATGAGATAAAAGGCCTTATTCTATTATTCTATTATAACTTGGGCCTGCAGAAAATAACAGAAGAAACAGTTAATTAAGTTTGTTTCTAGGTTCAGTGGTTTGAAAACTTTGGCTTGCCAAGCTTTGGACGTGGGAATAAATTTGATAGGAAGCTTTGATGGTACAAAACGAATTATTCTGTGACATTTTAAACACAATTAAACATTAGTGGGAGTTTGTTTGTTCTCTATTCTTTTGCTGTAAATTTTAGATCTTTTTGTATAATGAGAAGTATTAATTTAATAACGTATGAATCATTTTCTCTGTTGCACAGAATAGGCCTTATTTCTTTTTTCATGTCTAAAAAGATGCATAGTTGAATTAGAAGTAGCTATAAGGCTGTCTTTGCTGCATCACTTACAGAAATTGAAGGGATCCTTTCTCTTATCTTCTGATGGAATTTTATTTTCATCTTAACAAAAAAATTTAGGGAAGTCCACTCAGGTACTGTGGTTGTTCCCTTCCTCCTCCATCTTGTCACAGCCATATGTACTTTATTCTCCTTTCAGTCACAATGAATTCTTCATATTTCTTCAGTTTCACACTGTTCTTTCAAATAATTATTTTTATATTACTATTATTTGGACTTATTGTTATTTTATTATTAGTTTGATTTGCTAAGTATACTGCCTATGATGAGTTCTGTGAAGATACATGTCCTGAAGACATG